AGGTATATACAGACGGGAGTATACAGATAACTTGCAGTATCTGGAGGGAGGAATGGATTCCAGGCTGAGGTGCAAAGGCCCTGGGGTGCAGCCCGTGGGGCTGTGCTGTCCCATATTCCCGCCTGCCCAAGCCTGTGATAAAGTCCTGTGAGTCCTTCATTGTTTACCAGACCTTTGTACCCACCATGATCTCATCCAAGTCCCCCTCCCCTCTCCCACCAGCGAGGACTTCAGGTATCTATTATATAGGCAGTTTCTAGAAGGAGCCCAGTGACTCCATCCATTACAGAGGCAAGGTTCCACTGACCGGCTAAGGCGGCCTCACCGTTGCCCTCTCTAGGGACCAGCAGGTGAGCGTTGTGCAGCCCCCTGTGGGGTTCATCCGGAAGGGCCTCATTCCCCAGCCCCCAGCACCTGGGAGCCCTGCCTGAGCAGTCACGGGGAGGAAGGAGGGAAGCAAACACCTTTTCAGGATTCGAGTTCTGCCTCCTGGTGACCTTGGCCAGCCTGGGAGTCGGCAGAGCCCTGAAGCCCTTCCTGTGTTCTCAGTGTGGCTGAAGGAGGTGGCGATGGCTGAGAACAGGCTGGCCTGCACCCCGAAACTCATGGCTCTCTGCTGTGTTCCTGAGATGCAGTGCATGGGGTGGGAGGGCCTGGGATGTTGGCGGGTCCCAGCTTGGGAGGGCCTGTTAGCTCAGTCCTGGAGGGGCACAGGCGGGGTGGGGGGGTGCCAAGGCTGGGTGGAGTGGGGGGGCCCATGCCCAGCTCCCTGCTGCTTACATTCCAGAGGGACCTGGACCTCTCCCCCGGGCAGTGGCAGGGGCACGGGCACGTTGCCCCATAGCCAGGCCTCCGGACCTCCTTTCTTGCCCCGGGGGCATCCTTCCTCTCTCACTGGGACCGGAGAAGGGGAAAACCATTTTCCAAGCACCTTCGAGGGCCAGGCCCTGTGTGAGGGGGTTCCCTCACTCAGGGTCTGAGGGACAGTGGCCGGTGTGGAGCCAAGGGCCTGGCGTGCTGGGATTCCTGAGCTGAGGCCTTGCTGTGCAGTGTGCTTGTAGCACCAGCTGAGCGACTTGGTTGCCCCGGCCCGGTGATGCCAGACAGTCTCTCTGAGCCTCAGTTTCTTAGTCTGTAAAATGGGGGTAACAAGATTCCTTCACTCCCAGGGCTGTGGGAGGGTGAGCCAGGACGGGAAGGTGCCAGCCCGGAAACCTCTGGGCCCTGGGGCGCCCTGGGCAGCGAGGTCAGGGAGAGATGCAGTGTTGGATTCAGAGGCAGAGAGAGGAGCTTACGTGTTTTTTTGTGTGTGTGTTTTTTTTTAAATTGAGGTGAAATTCACACAACGCGCAATGAATTATCTGAAAGCATGCCTTTCCGTGGTAGTTAGTGCATTCATCATGGGCAACCACCAGCTCTCTCTAGTGTCAGAATTAAAAGTTTTATTTTAAGGAAGGACAGATGGAATTTGGGTAGAGGTGATAGTCCCACTTGGACCCTGACCTGGAGCAGTTGCTGGGCTTCTTCAACCCCCAGGTCACGTAGCTATAAAGAAGGAGGCCCTTCATGAAGGCATTTCAGGGACATGAGTTCATTTAATCTGTGTCCACCTGGAGGGGAGAGATTGCTGTTCTCCTACTCTTCAGCCTGGGGCAGTGCAGTAACTCAGACTCAGGGAGCCGTGGGCGTTGGGGCCAGGGTTTGATTTCCACTGTCCCCGGGGGACCCCCGCCTCTGTCGCACCTCTGTCCGTGGTGGGGGCCTGGCCGGTCAGAGGTCCCGTCCCTGCCCTGCTCCGGTTTCCAGCAGGGAGGAGCCTTCCATCCAGACTGTGGCTAAATTAAGTCTAAATTAATTAAAATTTAATAAGATTGAAGATGCGGCTCCTCAGTCTCACCCGCCCCACGTTTCAAGTGCCCAGTGCCTCCTGGAGTGTCCAGCGAATATCTGGAACAGGTGTCTTTGATTCACCAGGTTTTGGTCTGTCCAGGATGGCGGGCAGGCCAGTGGGAACGTTTTCCCACGGGGGATCCTGGTGGCCCTCGAGTGGCTACCCTGTAGGAGGGGTGTGGGCTGCACGGCTGGGCTCCGGGTCAGCCCTGGCTCTGCCCCTGGGCCAGGGCTGTGTGGCTTTGGGATTGTCCTCTGTGCCCCATGAAAGGCCTGTGGGAAGATTCCGTGAGCGTCTCCGTGTGAAGCCCGGTGTCCGTTGAAGTTGGGTTAGGTCCCCCTTTCTAATTATGAACAGTGGTACTTTATTACGGGCTCACTGTGTGTTCTAGGCTTGGACAGTCGTGGAGTGAGATACTCGCGTGGGTGGGTAAGGTGGCATTGAGGCCTCTGGTCACCAGGGGGCGGCCTGGGACCAGGGAAGGAGGGCCAGGCCTTGACCTCAGTCTGTGATGAGAGGGATGGAGACCTCTCCCACCCCAGGCTGTGCTGGAGGACTTCCAGCCAAGTCTAGGGAAAGGCGGTGGGCTCTGGCTAGACTGTCACTGCCCCCCAGAGCCCGGAGGCCTCCACCCTTCTCTGTGAACCCAGGAGGCCACCGCTGTGTCCCCAGGGGTGGGTGTGAGTGGAGGATGTGTCCCTAGACCCTGAGGAGAGCTCCAGGTACTCCAGGGTGGGGGGGATGCGGGGGTGTGGAGCTCAGAAGCAGTCCGGAGATGCCGGTGGGGCGGGGTCGGGGGGTCAGCTGCTTGTCTTCCACCCTAGGGGGACCAGGCAGGACGGCGGGAGTGGCACATGCGTCCTCAGGTGTCGGGAGCTGTGCTTGCCTTCTCTCCTCATCCTAACATGTGTCCATCTGCTTTTGCCCTGAGAGGATCAGACACAGTGCAGTCACTTAGGCCAAGAGCTGATGCCTGCTGTGTTCCAGGCCCTGGGCACGTCGGCGGAGGCCGACACAGGTCTACATTTCCACGTCGTCCTGGGTGGAGGGATTCTCTGAGGCCCAGGGAAGGCCCCGAGGTGGGAATGAGCGGAGGGGCCGGGGGAGGGAGTCCCAGCAACCGGGGGTTTATCTCATGCGTCTGAGCCCTGCCCCTCCGCTGCCTCAGGAGCGTCATCGGGGGAGCGGGTGGGGACAGTGAAGTGTGCAAATAAACGCCACTGTCCTGGGCCTGGCGGTGAGGGGGCTGGCACGCCCGTTTAACGGAGCTGCACACAGCTGCTCTCGGAGGGCCCAGGCCTGCCCGCCGGGCCCGGGGGAGGGAGTTCGGGCACCGTTGAGCCCCGTGGCAGGCGGGAGCTGTTGGCAGCATCCGGACCTGGGGTGCCGCTGGGCGGGTTTCACAAGCCCGGGCAGGGGCAGGCCCAGGGCAGGAAGAGCCCGCGGCTGATGTAAGCCCTTGCGCAAACCCCTGGCTGCCGCTTCCGGAGCCGGCCACCCGCCGCCCGCAGAGGAGGAAGCCTGGGGCCTGGCGGCCCGGAGGCCCCGCTGCCCGGGCTGGGGCTGCATGGGCCGACTGACCGGCCACCATGGCCCTGGGTCCCGAGGGCTTGGCGCTGGAGTCCGGTGAGGGGGCTGGTGGGGAGGGGATGGGGGGCCCGGACGTGGGGTGGTGGTGATGCCACGTGGTGCCAGGTGTCCTCCCGTCGCTCCGCCTGATGCCGGCCCCACTCTGGGCGACAGGGAGGAGGCCCTGCCCTTGTGTGCGCCCTGAAGGGCCTGGGGGGACGTTTGGGCCTCCTGTGCCCCCGGGGAGGTGGTGAGGGCGGGTCTGTAGGCCCTGCGTGGAGGGGGGACTCAGAGGGTGTGGGTGGGCGTCTGCGAGCCCCCTGAGGGCCGGGCTGGGGCCCTCTGGGCACCCGAGTTACACGTTGTCTGTGACCCCCTGCGGCCTGTCACTCTGGGCCGCTGCAAACGGCACCTGCGTCACAGGGGCTTAGAGAGGTTACCTGAGGGGCACCCGGGGAGCTCTTACCTCGGTGGCCCGAGCTGGTGCCTTCCAGTGAACGGGCGCTGCTGCCGTTTATTGTGATTATTATTGTTAAACGCGAGCTGCTTCCTTCACTGCGATTCTCAAGGGAGGCGTTATTATTATCCCCATTTTGCTGACAAGCAAACAAGAGGCCAGGGAAGGGGAGCACCCCCCCCGCCCAGGTCTCCTAGGCCTCCCCCGGCCTGTGAGCTGGGGGCCTGCCAGCGTCTTGCCCTGAAGGACGGGCACGTGGAGCTTAGGGGCAGCACCCCTGGATGGCAGGAGGGAGGACACACCCCTGCGGTGGGGGCCTGGCCACATGGGGCGTGGCAGGGGCGGGTGCGCTTCCACCCAGGCCTTAGCCGGTTGTCCTTCCTGGCATCAGTGGCCCCCACGCCCCCATGTGAGGGACCCCAGTAGGAGGAGCTCTGCTCTCTGAAGGGACAGGCCTCCCTTGTCCACTGCTCTCATTCATTCCCTGATTCACTTGCTAATTCCCTGGAGTTCTGGGACAGGCTGCTGGGCTGCATCCAGAGCCCCCGGTCACCGGCTGTGGGATCAGGCACTTCCCGTCTCTGAGCCTCAGCTTCCTCATCCGTTAAATGGGCACATGGTTTCTCCCGCAAAGGGTTGGCTGAGGGGTTGGTCCGGGCCTGTCCAGGGCTGCCTTGGGGTCCTTGGAGGCCATTCTCCAGCTCTCAGAACCTGAGCCCCCTTCCACCTCGTCACTCTGTGGCCTCCGGAGGCCCCTGCCCCGCACCGAGCCTCAGCTTTCGGGTGCAGGTGGGGAGAACCATACCCGCTCTGGTCTGGGGATGGTAACGCCCTTCTGCCAGTGTCGGGTGCCCTGGAGGCATCTGGGCTCTTACTGGGTGGTTTTCTCAAGCCCTGAGTCTGGCTGAGTTGACCCAGGGTGGTCCTGAGTCCAAGGGGCTGGGATGGGGCTGGGCGGAGGAGGTTTGATTGGTCTCCCTGCCAGTGTCAGCCTCGAGAAGCAGGGAGAGGCGGGGATCTTGGGGCGGTGGGCTGGGCGGCGGCGGCCTGGTGGCTGCCTGACAGCCCCCCTTCTTTCTGCAGGCGAGGCCTTCTTGGGCAGCTTTGTGGCCAGCGGGATGGGGCCCTCGGCCTCATCCCATGGGAGCCCGGTGCCCCTGCCCTCTGACCTCTCCTTCCGCTCCCCCACCCCCAGCAACCTGCCCATGGTGCAGCTGTGGGCTGCCCATGCCCACGAAGGTAAGGAGCGAGCCAGGCGGGCGGGCCGAGGGCGCTGGGCCGCTGTCCCCAGCACTTCTCAAGTCTGCCGCCTCCCCTCTGTCTCCACGGCCACTCCTCCATGCGGTGGCCTGCGGGGCCCAGCTCTGGTCATCCAGCCTCCCTGCTGTTCTTCAGATGCTCAGCGCTCCCTCTTGGCGCTGTCCCAGGGCCTTTACATGTGCAGTTCCCTCCACTTGCAGCCCCGCACCGCAGCTCACTGGCTATCTCCTGTTCCTCCTCCAGGGCTTGGCTCAAACACGCCCCCCACCCCACCCCGGTTCCACCTCCCACTTGTGATGACACATTCTTCTGTGTGCTTTTTCATGAGGTACCTGTTTCCCCACCAGTGAGCTCTGAGGGCAGGGTCTGGTTTGTTCTGCTGTCCGCTGTCTCCTCAATGCAGTCAGCTCGTCAGTGATTGTCATTGTGGGAGCAGTGGGACCAGGTGCCATTGGGCTCTCTTGTTGCTGTTCTGCGGTGACGCCCCTAACTGTGGGGAGGTCTGCCGGCTTGGCTTCCTGCCAGCCCAGAGCAAATCCTGGGCCTCCGTGGAGCCTCAGTTTCCCCTCTGTCAGTGAAGGAATGGGCCTGGGGGACTCTGAGTTCATCCTCCACCTTGGGCTCCGGTGGAGTTTAGATGCTGGGTGCTCGCTCGCTCCTGCTGCCTCCTGGGTGCCCTGGGGTGCTCCCGGGTCAGGCGCCTGTTGCGGGTTCAGGCTCTCCTGGGCCTTTCGCCGCCCACTGTCTCCCTACTTCCTCTCTGTGCCAGTTGTCACCGAGTGCTTCCGTCCTTGTCCTGACTTGTGTGTGCCCCGCACGGAGGGGCGATCCTGCCTCTAGGTCTGGGATGGCGGGCAGTCCTTCCGGGCTGGGGTCCCATCTGAGCCTCCCATTTCCACCAGCCCAGAGCGGGGGTGCTCGAGGGGCCTGAAGGGCAGAGGCTGCCTCTGGTGCCCGTGTGGCATCAACCTGACTCCCTTTTCTCCTTTGCCGGCAGATACCGGTAATGATAGTAATGATAGCAAGCGATGCAGTGTCCTTCCTATGCGCAAAGAACTGCATACTCGAGCTCGCTTTACCCTCAGAACAGGCCATGAGGAGGGACCATTATGCCCATCTTACAGATGGGAAGGCAGTGGGAACCAGTGCCTACCTGGGAGTGTTGTTTCAGTGATGAAGCGAGATAACGTCTATCAGGTGTTCCTTATCGTCTTGTGATTGTTGTTAATGTAATTGTCCTGTGGGGCTGTGGGTGAAGATGTGCGCCCAGTGTGGCCAGGGACGGCTCCTGCATCTCTGGCCTCAGAGGGAGTGACTGGGGGGCATGGGGGACCCAAGTCCCTCAGGGATGGATCACCAGTGGGTCTGAGGTCCTGTAGGACCCACCGCCCAGGAGGAGAGGCAGGATCCTCCTCCATTGCCCCGGCACCTGCTCACCTGTCTGGCCTTCCTGGCCCTGGTGAATGGCTCTTGGGCCTCCATTCCTTGTGTACTCTTTCAGGCCTCTTGTTTCTTTCTCTGTGGCCTCCGTTTCCTGTCTTCTGCACCCTGTAAGGCCCTGGTTCTGGGGCATCACTGGTGGGGTGGAGGGGGTTGTGGGAGGTTAGGAGGACCCCTGGCAGGAGGAATTCTTTCCTAGAAGCACCTGCCTGGGAGACCCAGCAGCTGGAGATGCTGGGTAGGCTGAAGTTCAGAGAAGGCAAGAGACCTGCTTGGCGTCACACAGCAGAGAAGTTAAGCCAGTAAACCACTCAACTGGGTCCATGTTGGGCTGAGGTTAAGAGTTCTGGTGACCTCAGTTCAGAGCTAGGCTCCTCTGCTGGGGGACCTCGGGCAAGTGGGCCTCTCTGAGCCTCAGTTTTCTCATCTGTAAAACGGGGATATTAAGAGTATTTGCCTCACAGGTTATTTTCCTTTGAAATTTAAATAACAAAGGCAAAGCAGTTGAGAGGGTTTGGTCTGTGATTAGAACTGCCATCTATCTTCATCATCCTCATTGCCCTGCACTGGGTCCAATTTGATTCTCTTCCTGGGGGACTGGAGAGCCCTAGCCCCTGGGGGCTGCCGGGGACTGGAGTGCCAGGATTGGGAGGGGGCAATCCTTGCTGTGGGAGCTGGTGGTAGACCTCAGGGCTCCCAGCACCAGGGGGCTGACAGCCAAGACACGTTATTTCCAAGAAGCAGAGAGGGTGGAAGTAAGCTCCCGGTGGGAGGCATGAGGTGTCCCAGCTGGCTTCTTTTCTCTCTTGCAGGCTTCTCCCACCTGCCCAGCGGGCTGTACCCATCCTACCTCCACCTGAACCACCTGGAGCCCCCCAGCAGCGGGAGCCCCCTCCTCAGCCAGCTGGGCCAGCCCAGCATTTTCGATACCCAGAAAGGTCAGAGGGCAGGAGTGGGGAGACTGGGGGGAGCTGCGGAATGAGGTTGGGAGGGACCACTACCCAGTACTCCAGGCAGCATCTCAGCTGTGTTTCCCGAGACCCCAGCCCCCAAGGGCCCCCACAGGCTTTCTGGGCCCACCCATAGCCTCCTGGAACCTTCTAGTTGTCCGGCCCTCATCTAATCCTGTTGGGCCCTCTGGGCAGCTCTTAATTCTGGCCTCTCCCCCTTAAACAGATGAGAAAACTGAGGCTCAGAAAGGTTAGTAGGTGGCCAGGGCGGGGTTTCAGCTTGGTTTTATCCATTTCCAGAGCCTGCCCTCTCCTGGGGCTGCGCTGTGCATGGCCCTCCTCCTTGCCCTGGGGTCTAGGGCACCCTTTGGGGCCTCCCTTCCCTCTCCCCCGGCAGAGGGGGCACTCGCTCACGGGCTGCGCTCTTTCTTTTCTGCAGACGGCTTCTACCTGCCCGCCCCTGGAGCTCCGGGTGCCCTGCACTCCCATGCGCCCTCCTCCAGGACCCCAGGCGGCCACTCGTCGGGCGCCTCGACCAAAGGCTCTTCTCGGGAAGGTCCAGCCAAGGACCGGATGGGCCGCGGCGGGGAGCCGCCCCCACTGTTCGGCAAGAAGGACCCGCGGGCCCGCGAAGAGGCAGCGGGGCCCCGCGGCGTGGTGGACCTGACCCAAGAGGCGCGGGCGGAGGGCCGCCAGGACCGCGGGCCCCCGCGCCTCCCGGAGCGCCTGTCGCCCTTCCTGGCCGAGCCCGGGCCCCCGCGGGCACCGGGCACGGCCACCACCGAGTCCAAGGGCAAGAACCCGCCGCCGCTGCCACCACCGGCGCTGAGCCTCTGCAATGGCGCGGGGGACGCGGGTCTCCCCGCACTGGTGGCCGAGGCGGCCCGCGGCTCTAAGGAGACTGCGCGCCAGGACGAGAGCGCACGGCTGCGGCGCGCAGAGGCCCTGCTGCCGGGGCCTTGCCCCTGCCCCTCGCCGCTCCCGCCGCCGCCCGTAAGCAAGGGCCCGCCTGCGCCCCCCGCCGCCTCCGGGGCCTTCGCCGCACCGCAGCCCGCCCCCGCCGGCGTCTACACCATCTTCCCCGTGGCGGCCGCGCGTGAGGCGGGCCGTGAGCACCGTGTGGTGGCGCCCACCTTCGTGCCTTCCGTGGAGGCCTTTGACGAGCGCCCAGGGCCCATCCAGATCGCGTCGCAGGCGCGTGACGCCCGGACCCGGGAGCGCGAGGCGGGCAGGCCCGGCGTCCTGCAGGCCCCACCCGGCTCTCCAAGGCTGCCTCCGGACCGACCCGAGAGCCTCCGCGAGAAGAGCTCCGTGATCCGCTCGCTCAAGCGGCCGCCGCCCGCCGAGGCCCCACCGGCGCGGGCCGCGCGCTCCTCCCCGGACCCCCGGGCCTACCTCCCCGCCAAGGAGCTGCTCAAGCCCGAGGCCGAGCCCCGGCCGTGCGAGCGCGCCCCGCGCGGCCCCGCTGTCGCCTCCGCCTCCCAGCAGGCAGCCAAGCTTTTCGGCCTAGAGCCAGGGCGGCCGCCCCCGCCCGCCGGCCCTGAGCACAAATGGAAACCCTTCGAGCTGGGCAACTTCGCCACGACGCAGATGGCCGTGCTGGCCGCGCAGCACCACCACGCCAGCCGTGCCGAGGAGGAGGCTGCCGCTGCCGCCGCCTCCAAGAAGGCCTACCTGGACCCCGGGGGCGCGTTGCCCCGCGCCGGGGCCACCTGCGCCAGGCCGGGCGCCGACCTGCACGCCGCGGCCCACGGGCCGGGAGAGGCCTCGGCCATGCAGAGCCTCATCAAATACAGCGGCAGCTTTGCCCGTGAGGCCGTGGCCGTGCGTCCCGGCGGCTGTGGGAAGAAGAGCCCCTTCGGAGGCCTGGGCACCATGAAGCCCGAGCCCGCTCCCACCGCTGCCCCACGCGCCCAGGCCCGCCTCCCGCACCCCGCGGGCCCTGCAGCGGCTGGGGGCCGGCAGCTGAAGCGGGACCCGGAGAGGCCCGAGAGCGCCAAGGCCTTCGGACGCGAGGGCTCCGGTGCCCAGGGTGAGGCAGAGGTGCGACACCCACCCGTGGGCATTGCGGTGGCCGTGGCCCGGCAGAAGGACAGTGGCAGTGGCCGGCTGGTGCCTGGGCTGGCGGACCAGGAGCGTTCCCTGTCTCTGAGCAACGTCAAAGGTGGGTCCCGGGTCCCACCCCCACCCCTCACCTTTTCTTCCCCCTTCACCTCCCCACCTTTGCTCACTGCTTCTACCCGCCTTCTGCACCCCTCTCCCCCACCTTCCTGGTACTGTTTGTCCTTTATCCCCCTTGTGGGCTCTGGCTGCTGTTTAAAACTTATTGCTTTTTCTGTCACACACATAGAAAAATGTGTAAAATGCAGGAGAGGAGAAAGAAGAAAAGGGACCGTTAGATTTTTTCCACCACCCTGAACACTTGGAGCTCTTTCCGCAGATTCGTTTTCCCGTTTGATCCGCAGAGCCTCCAGTGCACTGTGATCTCGGGCCTTGTGTTTTTCCCTTGTGGGTGGGCTCTTGCTTTTGCCAACTTTTTATAAGTATCATTTTTAATGGTCTTTGGTGTTTCGTCCAGAGCGTGCACGGTAGCTCAGTTAGCCGTTCCCTCGTGGCATTTTAGTTTTCCCTTCTTTGATGTTTTTGTGTTTAGGAAGTTACTTTGAATACTTTCATGCGTTGCGGCCTCACTGATACTTTGAGTCATTTTCTAAGAATAGATTCCTACGAATAAATTAGCTTTAAGCTTTCAATTCCAGGTCCTTGAGGGAGGTAACCGTGCCTTACTTAACCTAGTTCAGCGTTCCCGGTACCTGGCGCATAGTAGGTGTTTGGTAAGTGAGTGAATGAGTGACTGAGTGTGACGGATGGCAACTAGGGCCTCGGCATTCCTGTGGTCTCGACATTGAATGCCTTTGTGACTTCTTAGGTAGGTAGCGAGTTTATATGCTTGTTTGCAGTCTGTTTTGTTTTAGACTCCTCAGAATCGTGTTTTAACGTTACTAAAGAAAACCCAAACAATCGTCGTTAAGTTCAGTAGGGAGGAATGGTGTGTTTTAACTATTAGTAAAGTTGAATATCTTTCCAGAACTCGGCTGATCGGTTACATTTCCGTTTGTCCCTGGCATATTTTGCCATTGGACTCCTTCCTGAGATTTTGGAGAGTTGCTGTTTGCGGCATTTTGGTTGGAACTCTGGACTTGGGCTGCCCAGAGAGAGCCCAGGAGTGAGCCAAGGGCCTCACCTGTGGGTCAGGCCCTGAGGCTGCCCCGCTGCACCAGGCCGTGGTCAGTGTGTTGAGGTGTGGGGTGTTGGCAGGCTGGGGTAAGGGCCCCGGAAGGAAGGCTGTGTCCCGCTGCCCCTAGCTCATGTGACTTTTTAACAGTCGGCCTGGGTTTCCTCCCCGAGTCTCTGTCCCCGCCCCCAGTTCGCTCCCAGACGCGCCAGCCGCAAGCTCAGGCTTGGCTCACATCGCGGCCCCGTGCGACCGGCTTCCCTGCGCCTCCTAGATTCTCCAAGATACACAGGCATCTTGGGTGCACGTCCCCTGTGTCCCCGTCCCTCCCTGAGCCTGGCCCTCCTGCGCCCGCCTGCACTGACTCCTGCCTGGGCTTCAGCGTCCGTCCACAGTGAGCGGCCAGTGCTGCGTCCTGTCACAGCTGCTTCCTAGACCCGTAGCCCCAGCCCTGCTCTCCCAGAGGAAGCCTGGTAAGGCTCTAGGCTGCCCTGGGTCTCGCCCGGTCACTGCCCATCTGAATGTACCGCAGCTGCAGAGGCTCAGAGCAAGTGATGTCCTAGGGAATGTTTGTTGAACTGAGCCCACTGTTCCGTGTGGAGCCCCCCTGGAGCCAAGGGAGGCCCGTCCTCGGACCCCAGGGGCTCACAGGAGGCCCTGCCTTAGTCTGGGATTCAAAGCCTGGGCATTGGCCCTTGGCTAGGAGGTGGCCGGCTGGGTGGTGGAGAAGCCCGCTCACTAGGTGGGCAAAAGATCTTTTGGGGTCCTTTTTTTAGAAGAATGCTCGTGTGACACGATATGACACCCCAGTTAGGACTCACGGCCCCCAGAACTCATCCTGGTGGCCAGAGTACCTGGCCGTGCCCAAGGGACCTGTGTCCATGGGGTTGTGAGTGTGTGTGGGAGAATGTGTATGAGGGAGTGTGTGTGAGAGAGTGCAGGTGAGAATGTGTGTGTGTGAGCGTGTATGTGTGTGCAAGTGTCTGGGCGGGGGGGAGGGGAGAGAGAGAGAGGATGGGGCAGTTTGGGATGAGACCTTCAGGAATTATTGGGCTGAGACTGCCTTTCTGTTTGCCGGTGACCAGTGGAAAGCGAGTGGAGTCTTACTCTCCTTAAAAAAAAAATGCCTGTGAGAAGTGGTGATTTTTCCCCAATCTGGACGACCCTGGGGGAGGGGAGAAGTTGGCATTACCCCAGCTGAGTGGTTGTTGCCAGCCCCGGGGCTCCTGGGTTTCCCGACTTCCCGGCTCCTACTTTGTGGAGTGAGCCCTCTGCCTGTCAGTGAGTTCACATCCAGGCTCTGCCCTTTGCAGCTGCGTGACCTTGAACCTGAGGCCTGAGTCCTCTGGCCCCTGGTGTCCCCATTTACTACGTGGCGCTAGGGAGGGCCTCCTCGTTCCCTGACGCCAGGTGGGCCGAGGCGCTCGTAGTAGGTGCTTCGTAAACAGGCCTTCCTTTTCTCTGTTCCCATTCAGGGCCTTAAGGGCTCAGAGCTTCTGCCATGAGCCCGAGATCCTTTTATGGGAAATGCCCCGAGGGCTCACCCAGGGTCTGGTCTGGCTACAGGGGTCTTGCACCCTGAGATGGATGAAGGGCGGGCTTCACGTACACCTGTGAACCCCAGACAGCAGTGCCCACGCCGAGAGGCCAGCAGACCAGCACCTTCCCTGCCGTGTAGCAGGGGGCCGTGTGCCGGCAGCCCCACGTAGCCCCGGCCACCAGCTCTTCCTGGTGGATCTCTTATTCTCCCAGCTTCACAGATGGGAGAGCAGGGCCTGTGGAGGTGAGGTGACTCGCCCTGGGTCACCCGGCTAGAAGAGGCGGGCTGAACTTGAACCCTTAAGCCCAGACCTGTGCCTCCCATCTCTTTGTCTTGCCCGTTATCACCTCTATGGTGGAGTCGAATTGGGGACCAAATCTGGGGGGCTCTGATGGTGCCCCCACCCCGCCCTGCTGCCCATCATACCGGGCAGAGCTGGGGTTGCATCGGGTGTAAGCGGTGGTATTGACCCCCAGACTCTGGAAAGCACAGAATTGGCCGGAGTTGGTGGTCGCCGTATCTGCAGAAATGCTCAGATGGAGTCTGGGAGGGAGTTGCCATGGGAACCAGGCCTTAGCCTGAGCCTCTGCCGTTACGGCCGGATTAGAGCATGTGACCCACGGAGGGGCTGTCAGTGCTGGGGACGTGGGCCCTGGGGCAGGGCTGCAGATGGGTGACGGCAGTAGTGCTGCTGTTTCACCAGTGCCCACCCTGTGCGGGCTCTGTGTGTGGAGGGGTGTGCACCCTGGTGGTCAGGAAGACCCTGTCAGACCGCGATGCTAGCCTGATGCCTCCTTGTCGGTCAGTGGTGTGACCTGGGTAGCTACCCTTCCTGTGCCTCAGTTTCCTCATCTGGGATGGGCTGAGGGCTGGAACCCCCCTCCTGGGTTGATGACCACTGAATGAGTGTGTGTATGGAGAGGGCCCTGGGCCCTGCTGGGCACACAGGCGGCTTTGAAATGTTGGACGTCTCCAGAGCTTGTGCCTCGAGGGTTGGGGTGAAGGGGTCCTGGGTGTGTGGGACCTCGGAGCAGCTGACCCTCTGCCCCACACGCCTCCCTGCTGGAGGAGCTGGTCCCTTGCCATCCTGGAGCTCAGCACAGAGAGGCGATGGGCCCTTTGGTTCGCTTGTCCACAGGGGGCTGGAGGGAGGTTGGTTTTCAAAACCTCAGTCAGATCATGTCTCATCCCTGCTCAGAGCTTCCTCTGGCTTTCTCCTTTTACCTTGAGCAGAATCTCAGCCATATTCCCTTCCACGGCCTGTACCCCGCTCTTCACCTGCACCCCCTCTTCCTTATTACTCTCTTCAACCACCGTGGCCCCCTGGGCACGCTCCTGCCTCAGGGACTTTGCACCTGCCGTTTGTTCTGTCTGCATAGCTCACTGTTCCTCTAGCTATCCTCATGAATTCATTCATTCACTTCCCACGTATTTGCTGAGCAGCTTCCTCTGTGTCAGGCATTGTGCAGGAGAGAGGTAGACAGCCAGGAGTGTGACTGCTCAAACCAGAGCAATGCACAGTCTGAGGAGGAGACAGACGGTGAACAACCAACAAGCAAAACAGCTGTGTGTTGTGCTCAGTGCTGTGAGGGAGACAAATAAGGGAGCATGAGAGAGGAGAGGTGGTCTGGGAGGGCTTCCTGGAGGAGGTAGCATATGAGCTGAGCTCTTTCTGGGGAGGCTGAGTAGTACAGAGGAAGGGCACTCTGGGTGGAGGGAATAGCGTGTGTGGCCCTGAGTGTGACTGGAGGGCAGAGAGGCTGTGGGGGTACACTGGAGGGGACAGCTGGGCAGCATGAGTCAGGCCCAGGGGCTTGGTTCCATGGGGCTGGCCCTCCGTAGGAGGGACAGGTGTGAGCAGGGATTAGAGGGAGCAGGTTGGAGCAGGAGGACGAGGGTGGTGCCCCGGGGCGAGGTGGTGGAGGGCATGTCCCATTTCTTTGGAGATCAACTGTATTTGGAGGGAGCGGTCTGGGGCTCTGGCGTGAGTGACCCTGGGGGTGGTGGGTGCTCCCAGGTGGGCGGGCCTGCATACAGGTTTCTGGTGCAGGTGGCACCTAGGGTGGGAAGCCCCTGAGGGCCTGTGTGGTGACAGCCAGGGCAGTGGAGAGGCACCAGGCCTGAGGACAGAGGTCTTGGGGGCAGGCCACGCTGCAGATGCCTGTCCCTTCTGGGGGCACCAGGAGCTCTGTGCCAAAGCCTGTCTGCCACCCCGGCGTGGCCAGTGGGCGGGAGGGTCTTCGGGGTTTCTGCGGGCCTGGGAGGCCATCCCTGCGGGAGAAGGAAGCTCAGACACATGCTCTGGTTTCGCAGTCCAGCTGAAGGACTCTGGATGGCCCTGCCTGAAAGCCCGGGATGGGAGGGGGCCCACAAGCAGGGCCCCTTCCAGTCCTTCATCGAGGGGGTGGGCGGGCTCAGGGTCCCCTTGGCTTTGAGAACCACATTGACACTGGAGGCCGGGACACCCTCACTGGGTCTCACCCCGAGTTGGCGCGGGCTTGTTCTCCCACCTCCCGCCTTTCCCCTCTGCTTCCTGCACTTCCTGCCATGTGCTGGAACAGTCGTGGGGACCGGGCGTTGGCTCAAGAGTCGGCTCAGGGCTTGCATGGGGTGACTTAATGGATCGCCTGGGACGCACCTGTGTGACCCACGGGGACCAGGTCGGCAAGAAGACTCCTTCGCCCACTCCCACCCTGACGGTGCCCCAACTCTCTGGCTTTTCTCTGCTTAACCACACACGCTGCTTCCTTGTCGCTCCAGTGGCTTCTGGAACTTGCAGACTCGCCCCCGGTGGCCCCTGGCCCATCTCCAGCTGCCTCTCGGGATGCGACCCTCCCTGATTCAGGCTGCCTGGCCCCCCCCCCCCCCCCTGTGTGCGTGGTCCATCGGGCACGTGGGCTTGTGTGGCTGCCCCTCCCCGTGGGCTTCTCTTCTTTGTTCTGGGGCTGTGGGTTTCCACCTTCCCGAAGGGGAAGGAGAAGCCCCTGCATCCCTGAGCCTCTCCTGGGAGCTCTGTTCTTCCGGAGCTCCTGGTGATGGGGGTGCAGGAGGGGAGAAACGATGGGGAGATGCTCGACGGCCGCATTCCAAGCTGGATCCCCGCCCACGAGGACCATGAATGTGGGGACTGCTGGGGGCCCTGGCAAGGTGGCCCTGGACGCTTGTCTCCAGCAGGGTGATAACCGATAAGGTCCGGGGCCCTGGGGACGGCTTCCTCCCCGGGCGTACCTCCCGAGACCTGGGTGGGAGGACACCAGTCCAGCATGACTGACCCTAGAGAAGGAGTTAGTCCAGCCTCGGCGGTTTAGAAGAGTCTCAGCTGCCAGCTGAGTGGCTTCTGCCGCTGGTGATAGCGCCCGCCTCCTGGGCCCTAGCCGGCCCGGGGCGGCCACACGCGTGCTGGCTTCCGTCGTATGGAGTAGAAAACGTCCAGGAAGAGTGGGGCAGGTGGGGCGAGGAGGGCTGGACCCTGGGTGCCCTCCACGAGCTCCTGCCCCTGCAGAACTGGCCGGGACTTGAGGACCTGCCTTCTCTGCTCTGGGGAAGGCGGGGAGCTCACGGAAGGTGCAGCTGGACCAGCCATGGGTCGAGGGACGTCCCCTGGGCACCAGGACAAGGGTGGGTGAGCCGGATGGCAGCCCGCATATCCTCCACTCGCCCACACACACATAGCATTCTCTGGTTTCACTTTTCCGTCTTGATTTTGAAAAGATCAGCCACAGGTCTGCAGCAGACAGAACCATGACGGGGCCTCGGGGGGAGGCTGATTTCCCGCGGCCTGGGCCTCGCTCTGCTTCTGAATCGCGACCGCTCTTTTGGGTTGTGGTTTCCCCTCCATCCTAACCTCTCCCAGAACCTGCCTTTCCGGTGATAAAGTAGTGAAACCATGTCAGCGAATGCCACTCGGTTCACACCCCGTTGTTACTCGATCTGTGTTATGATGTTTTACTGCAATATCCCGGTTACCTGTGCGAGTTCCAGGTAGGCTCTTTGAGGGGCGATGGAGGGATGTTTCTGGGCACGGAGGGCGTCCGGCCAGGGTGAGGGAACCGCTCAGATGCTGAGGGCTTGTTGGGGCCCTGAGTGTGCCTCACTTCCTGCCTGTCCCCCTGACCCAGGGCACAGCCGAGCCGACGAGGACTGTGGAGATGAGCGGGCCAGGCACCGGGAGGAGCGGCTGCTTGGGGCGCGGCTGGACCGGGACCAGGAGAAGCTGCTCAGGTGAGGGCCTGGGGCAGCCCGGGAGGGCCTGGGAGCCCCAAGGCAAGGGTGGATGACCCTACCTGGCTGCGGGGTGGTCCTGAGAGTGTGGGACACCCTCCCGAGGAAGGCCCCGGGGGCCCTCTGCCGAGCCCCAGCTGGCTCTTCTGTCCACCGGGTGCAGAGTCGGCCCAGCAGTAGCCTGGTGTCCCCCGGTTACTTGGGGCGGTACCCCTTCTCTCCCACCCGCCCCTGGGGCCGTCCGGCCTGTCCCTGACGCCCCTGTTCGCTTCCAGAGAAAGTAAGGAGCTGGCTGACCTGGCCCGCCTGCACCCCACCAGCTGTGCTGCTAACGGCCTGAACCCCAACCTCATGGTGACCGGGGGCCCGGCGCTGGCAGGTTCCGGTCGCTGGTCCGCTGACCCTGCGGCCCACCTGGCCACGCACCCCTGGCTGCCCCGCTCGGGCAGCACGTCCATGTGGCTCACTGGACACCCCTACGGTGAGCGGGAGGGCGGCGGTGGGCCGGGATGGGGAGGCCTGACGTGCTGGTGCAGGGACAGCACCTCTCCTCTCTTCCCCGTAGTTCAGCTCCCTCACTGCCCAAGCAGGGCCATTATTAACGGCGCCAGCATTGTGGGCCCTTGGCCAAGCCTGTTTGTGGACAGTGCCCAGAGCGGGAGGGCACTGAACGCGCTGGGCGCGCGTTCACAGCCCTTACCCTCGGCTTCCTGCTCGGAGGCCCAGGAAGTGGAGGATGGGGGAGTAGGCTGGGCCTGGGTCCTCAGCACTGACTCGGGCATGGGTCTCTCCTAGGCTTGGGCCCCCCTTCTCTTCACCAGGGCATGGCGCCTGCCTTTCCACCCGGCCTGGGGGGCTCCCTGCCGTCGGCCTACCAGTTCGTCAGGGACCCCCAGTCGGGCCAGCTGGTGGTCATTCCCAGTGAGCACTTGCCTCACTTTGGTAAGTGGCCTTCCACAGTGAGACTGTCCCAAATGCCGTGGGAGGAGGACTGTCCTCCTGTGGCAGGGGGTGTCCGCCCAGCAGAATAGGGTGGCTGTGTCCTAAAGCCACAGGGGTCCTTGTTTTGATGAGTTCCTACCCAGAAAGCCCACGTGGAGAACCAAAGCAGGGCTGCCCTGGTGGGAGGCCTGGACCCTCTGCCTTGGTGCCCCCATTCCTCAGGAATCCACTTTGCAGACCACTGGGTATAGTAGGAGAAGGTGTGGAGTCCCCATGTTGGCCCCGGGCCTGGGATGTGGCTGCCCCTGGCAAAGGGAGGAGGACAGGCTTCTCCGTCCCCAGGAAGCAACTGGAGGCCCAGCTGAGCCCAGCTCTGCCTCAGCTTCCCCATCTGTAAAATGGGGTGATGGGCACCAGGCGGTAGGTGCAGCCTCACTGTCTTCTTGCCCCCAGCGGAGCTGATGGAGCGGGCCGCGGTGCCACCCCTTTGGCCGGCCCTGTACCCACCAGGCCGCAGCTCCCTGCACCACGCCCAGCAGCTGCAGCTCTTCTCCCAGCAGCACTTCCTGCGGCAGCAGGAATTCCTGTACCTGCAGCAGCAGGCGGCCCAGGCCCTGGAACTGCAGAGGAGCGCCCAGCTGGTGGTGAGTTGGGGTGGGCGTGGTTCAGGAGGGCCATGGGGGCACTGGAGACCCTTGCCGGAGCTCCTCTGTTGTTGGCGAGGCAGAGGGGTCAACCAGCAGAAAGTCCGGTTCTGGACTGTGAGTCAGAAAAAATGAGAGAGGCTGGTGGTCAGGGGGGCCTCCTGGAGGAGGTGGCGTCTGCCCAGAGACCTGAAGAAGTTAGTTGTGGAGGAGCCCTCTGGGCAGAGGGGATGGTGTGAGCAAGGCTGAGAGGTGGACAGAGCCTGGCAAGGGGTGGGTGCAGGTAGCAATGGGGAAGCCAGGGCGGGAGAGGTGGCCCTGTGGACTGGAGATGTTTGCATGGGAACTGAAGGGATCCCTGTGTTCTCCCGCTGTTTCCTAAGCCCTGCCTGGCCCGGCTGGGTGCCTGATGGCCCTGGGCTCCCCTCTCGGGCCGGGGCTGGCCTCCACCCATGTTGCCTGATCACGTAAGATGGGCGACACTTGGTGTCGCCACCGTGTGGGTGGACTCCCTAAAGCTCACAGCCCTCCTGCCTCCTTGAAGGTGTTCCTGGACATTTGTCCTCTGCTTGGCCGTGCCCCTCCCTTCTTGTGCAGCAGCAGCTCTGGAGGAGTCAACCGAGGTGACACAGGCAGCAAATGGGGCCCTGGGTTTGAACCTTAGTTCTGCCATGCCTGGCTGTGTGCCCTCCAGCAAGTGAATTCGCCTCTCTGGGTTTCAAGTTTCCTCCTGTGGAAGTGGAGTTGCTAGTAATTTCTGTGTCATCAGGCTGTTCAGTGAGATTTAACAGCCGTGACAGTGGCTGGGGCATGGAGCCTTTCCTCCCTGTGTGATCGTGCGCTGACCGCCTGGCCCCTGGTGAGCACGGGCGAAGTTCGTGAGCCTTCCTCAAGCCATCAAAGACCGGGAAAGGCTCCCCCCGCCCACCTTTTGAGGTGTTTTGAGACCCGGGTGTGATAAGGCGGGAGAGTGCCCACAGGTAGTGAGTTCTCCGTGCAGGTAGCTGTCCTAGTGTCATGAAAGAGCCTCCCACCTCCACCGGCCCCCCGCGCCCTGACCGTGAGGGTCCCAGAGGGGCCTGGGTCTAGACCGGAGGGCCCCCTAGCCCCGTCTGCTGGAATTCTACAAGGAACGCTGTGCTTGTTATTTGTACTGTGACGGAATGTCAGTCTCGGGCTGGGGGCGTTGGCGGCCTGCAGCCCCAGACCCTGCCTGAGGTTCTCTGTGTGTCGCGGGGACCCCGGGGACAGGGCAGGTGGTGGGTGATGGGTCCTACCGCGCTGACCCTGCCTGCCGGCCCCCCGCCCCCCCCCAGCAGGAGCGGCTAAAGGCCCAGGAGCAGCGGGCGGAGATGGAGGAGAAGGTGAGCAAGCGGAGCCTGGACGCCGCGGGCAAGGGTGGCCTGGGCGCCTCGGGCCCCGGGCTGCTGCCTCGGAAGCCCCCTGGCCTGGCCGCTGGCCCTGCGGGCACTTACGGCAAGGCCATGAGTCCACCGCCATCTCCCCGTGCTTCCCCTGTGGCTGCCCTGAAGGCCAAGGTCATCCAGAAGCTGGAGGACGTGTCCAAGCCGTCCACCTACGCCTACCCCGCCACGCCCAGCTCCCACCCCACTAGCCCGCCGCCTGCCTCCCCGCCGCCCACCCCTGGCATCAACCGCAAGGAGGAGGCCCCCGAGAACGTCGTCGAGAAGAAGGACTTAGAATTGGAGAAGGGAGCCCCCAGCCCTTTCCAGGCCTTGTTCTCAGGTAGGAGCTGGTGAAACATCCCCATATGGTCATTCACTCATTCATTCCTTCAACCTGTCAATCCTTCTTTCTGTGTTGAGCACCTACCGTGTACCTGGCTCACCGCTGGGCTCTGGAATGAATGCCCTAGGACGCAGCTGGCCGTCATCTCTCTCTAGCCTTCCCTCAGGGGTAGGGTCAGGGGAAATGGGTGTAATGTTAGAAGTAGGTTGTAAGTTCAGGAGGGCCTGTCTGAGCGTGAAACAGTAAGACCTGTAGGATATTCAGCACCATAGCTGGCCCATAACAGGTGCTGTGTTGTTGCACTGACGATAAGTGTGTTCTGAGGAGTACTCCCACCCCACACGCTGCACGCGCACACGCGCCCTCTTCCCGTGTCCCGTGTTGGTCGGGACATGCAGCAGGTGGCCTTGAAGGGGCCTGAGGCCTGTGTTCCTCTTCCCGTGGGAGGACTTGAGTTCGAATTCCGAAGTTCAGATTTCTGCCACCGGAATGCTGTGTGCGATCTTGGGCAGGTGGCTGGGGAGATTCAATGTCTTGCTAATGAGGTCAAGTGTGGAGCACAGGCCTGGTCCTGGTGCAGGGTGAGGGTGCTCCGTGCGTCTGTCTCCCCCGGTTTGGTTCATACTGAGCCCCTGCTGCTTGCCCCGCTCTGGGCTGGGCCTGGGCCACTACAGACAGTCAGCTGAACACCATCCTGCTGTAAGGCAGATTACACTCAAGGGTGGGAGTTCAGAGTGAAAAAAGTGAGGGAGGGGAGCCAGCACTGTATCACTATTATTTTTTGAACAACTTGGACGCCCCACCTCTGCTTTAATGGCGTGGGGCGGGTGGCTTCTTGTGGGACGGAGGGCAGAGTCGGCACCGGCTGGGTGGGGACCATTTGGGGTCTTACTGAGCGTGTGCTTCTGGCCCAGCTTTGTGCTGGGTGCTGAGACTGGAGGAACAGAGAAAGAGCCTTTGAGACCTGAAGACCCTCTGGGAAAGATGGTGGCCAGTTTTTCTCTCTGCGGCGCAGACATGCAGAAAGGCCCTGGGGTTCCTCAGATGCCATCTGGAAGGGATCCCAGCCCCGCAGGCTGGCCCAGCAGAGAGGGTGGCTGGTGGGTGGGTGTTGATGGGGACACACGGGGGTGTCGGACATGGCAGGAGAAGGGGCCCCCGCTGACCCTTGGTGTCCTCGGCAGATATCCCACCCAGGTACCCGTTTCAAGCCCTGCCGCCACACTACGGGAGGCCCTACCCATTCCTGCTGCAGCCCACGGCGGCTGCCGATGCCGACGGCCTGGCCCCCGACGTGCCGCTCCCGGCCGATGGGCCCGAGCACCTGGCGCTCTCGCCTGAGGACAAGCCCATCCGCCTGTCCCCGTCCAAGGTCCCAGAGCCGCTGAGGGAGGTCCCGGACGGAGAACCACTGGCGGAGCGGGAGGTGAAGGCGGAGGTGGAAGACATGGACGAAGGCCCCGCAGAGCTGCCCTCCCTCGAGTCGCCACTGACGCTGCTCCCCGAGGAAGCCCTGGCGGCCCCGAGCCCGGCGGGCGGCTGCGCGGGTGGCCTGCTGGAGGCCCAGGCCCAGGCGCTGAGTGCTGGCGGCCAGGGGCCTGCGGAGCCCTCCGGGTGCCCGGACTTTGCCGAGGGGGCTGAGGCGCGGGTTGATTCACCGCGCCGGACAGAGTCCTGCACGGCTGCCCCGGACCTGGGGGCGCGGCTGACGCCTGAGCCGTTGGTTAAGGCTAAGGAGGAGCCAGTGGAGGTGCCCGTGGACGTGCCCGTGGCAGAGGCAGCTCCCGAGGAAGATCTGGCCCAGGAGGCCCCGAGTGAGCCCCGGCCCAGCCTGGAACTGCCGGACTGTGACGTGCCCCCTGGGGAGGGACAGTGCCTGAGTCTGGAGGCCCCGGAGGCCACCCCTGTGCCGGGCAGCGCCTGCTTCCTGGAGGAAGCGGGCTCCGATCAGTTCCCGCCCAGCCTGGAGGACCCGCTGGCTGGCATGAATGCCCTAGCAGCCGCGGCAGAGCTGCCCCAGGCCAGGCCTCTGCCCTCCCCGGGCGCTGGAGCCCCAGCCCTGGAGAGGCTGGAGGCAGTGCAGAGCCTCGTCTTGGAGCCAAGCTTCCTGCATGGCATCACCCTGCTGAGCGAGATCGCCGAGCTGGAGCTCGAGAAGAGGAGCCAGGAGGTGGCAGGTGAGTCGTGCCGGGCGGTGGGCCTCTGCGGTTTGCTTTTTCCCTTTTTATTTATTTATTTTTAGGCCGCGTGGCTTGCGGGATCTCAGTTCCCCAACCAGGGATTGAACCTGGGCCACGGCAGTGCAAGCCTGGAATCCTAACCACTAGGCCGCCAGGGAACTCCCGCCTTTCCCCCTTTTAAGGAAAATTTTTCAAAATAGGATTTAAAAAATTTCAAAATCTCCAGGATGTGGTTTATTCGTGTGCACTTTAAAAAAACTGGTGAAATATACATGTTGTAAACTCTTATCATTTTAACCGTTTTGAAGTGTACAGGGCAGAGGTGTTACATACAGTCACATCGTTGTGCAGCCAGTCTCTGGGTTTCTTAGTGGTGAAGTTTCTGCTTGTTCTGTCAGTGGTGAGATGCTTTGGGTTGTGAGGGACCAAGACTTTTCTTTTAACTGGTTAGGAAAAGTCAGGGGAAATTTATTGGCTTGTGGAACCGAAGTATGTCAGTAATTAGCGAATATTTCAGGTATGGCTGGATCCAGGTGCTCAAACTTTTCCCTCTTCCCTGTCTCCCCCCACCCCCCTTGTTTCACTTCTTTCTGTTGGCTTCATTCAAGGTGGGCCCACTGCCCTTATAGTGGTCACTGATACTTTCTCCCAAGCCCATGGGCCTGCTCAGCTCAGCTCGGCAGACACACAAAAGAGGCCACCTGTTTCCACATAGCTCTGGCAAAGATGCTGTGATGCACTGTCAATGATTGGCTGACTGGGGTTCATGCTTTTTGCAGAAGCAAACCCTGTGGCCCAGGAGATGGGATGGACCAGGCTGATCATGCCCAGCCCTCGATGCGGGGGCAGCCACTTCCAGGGTGTAGGGAGGGGCGGTCCTCAGAGGGAATGGAGTGCCTTCAGCAGAAGGGGCCGTGAATTCTGGGCTGGCACAAAACCACTGACATTCGACATAGAAATTGAGGTGCTCCAAGACGTGTGTGGAGAGGCTGAGCGGGTCAGGCACAGCCTCGCGAGCCCACGCTTGGGCCAGAAGCGGCACGGAGGAGGGGCCCAGGCCTGGCTGCGGAGGAGATAATAGCGCCGGACGTTTCGGTGTACTTCCTCTAGAATTTTTTCTACACAGACACAGTTCCAAAATCAAGGTCATTTTGTAAACAGTGCTCTGTAACTGGCCTTTTTCACTTAGCATATGCTTTATTAAACATTTCTCAAAGCTGTGTGTTCTTAGAAATTTTGTTTTAGGGATTACACAGTTTTCTGCCTGGTGGAGGTCCCAGCCTTCAATGACCCAATCCTAGATTGTAAGGCATTTTCATTTGCCTTCTTTTCTTTTTTGCTGTACGCGGGCCTCTCACTGTTGTGGCCTCTCCCGTTGCGGAGCAGAGGCTCCGGACGCGCAGGCCCAGCGGCCATGGCTCACGGGCCCAGCCGCTCCGCGGCATGTGGGATCTTCCCGGACCGGGGCACGAACCTGCATCCCCTGCATCGGCAGGCGGACTCCCAACCACTGCGCCACCAGGGAAGCCCTGAATTCTTTTTTATTCCCTCCCTCCCTCCCCCTCCCTTCCCTCCCCCCCTCCCTCCCTCTCTTCCTTCCTTCCTTCTTCCCTCCCTCCCTCCTTTCCTTCCTTTCTTAGCTGCTGTAAATGATGTGATGATTACTCTTGAAGAAAACTCCTTGTCCACACCTCTGTTTTCCCCGGGATTTGTTCCAGGGGTGGAATTGCTGGGCCAGAACCAGGCCATACTTTCAAGGCTCTTTCAAGGCTCTTTCATGTCATGGTCAAATGCCCCTTTCCAGGAAGCGTGGACGAGTGACACCCACTCCCCCTCAGGCGTCTGTTGTTTTGTTGTTCTTCTTCTAAAGTTCATTGTTTCTTTTCTCTCATTTAAATAGTTTGGTACCAAAAACAATTTTTTTCCCAGAAGAAAATGAAAACCCTCTTGATCCTACCAACTGGGGGGTTTCCAGTGGGGACCGCAGAGGCCCAGGGGCATCTGGAAAGGAGGGGGCTCAGGACGGGTCACCCGGTTTGGGAGTCTCTGCACACTCTTGCCCCTTTTCACACTCCTACCTCATCCACCTACTCATTCAGCTCCTACTGTGTACCCGGCACCGTTTTGGTGCTGGGGGCCAGCGGTGAACCAGGCCATCTGCGTGCAGCCCTCAGCACTGTCAGGTGGTAAAAGGCCGGGAAGGGGACAGGGCAGGGGCGGGAAGGGTGGTCTCCTACAGCGCATGGCCACGGAAGCCCCTGTTGATGGGTGGGGGAGGAAGATTCTTCTAGGGAAAACCAGCCAGGCCTAAGGAACAGCAAGTGCAAAGGCCCTGAGGTGACTGTGTGTGTCGTGTTAGAACAAAGGCGAGGAGGCCAGGGGCAGGAGCAGAGCCGGAAGGGGAGAGTGGTGGTGAGGAGGTCCGTGGGATAACTTGGGTGAGGGGTGACCCCGGGGAGGTCTTCCACTTGGAGTGAAATGAGAGGCCGTAGGAAGGTGGTTTTGAGTTGAGCTGATAGGATCAGACTTACGTGCGGTTCCTTTGTGGGCTGTGTGGAGAGCTGACACAGGGCTGAGGGTGGAGGCGGGGAGACCCAGGCGGAGGCTCCCGTCTCCATCCAGGCCCAGGGTGGCGAGGGGCACGCAGGCAAGGAGCAGGTGGGTTCTGGGTGGAAGCTAAGGGGCGGCCAGCAGGCTTTGCTGGTGGACTGAGCGCGGGTGTTAAAGGACGATGCCAAGGGTTGCGGCCTGAGCCGCCGGAAGACGAGAATTCCAGCTTCTGAGCTGGGCAGGTGGGGCGGGGGGAGCACGTGTGGGGGAAGCCCAGCAGCTGGTGTGGACACCGATGTTTGAGGTGGATGTCTGGGGTGCCCTCAGGGCTCTGCAGTGGAGGCTGCGGCCCCAGGGCTGGGGGCAGCGTCTGGGCGGGTGTGCAGGGGTGTGTGCACCACAGGGGCGAGGGGGGCCCCGGTGGCCCTCCCCCTTCAACGGTCGCTGACAGACGCTGAGCAGCAGTCTCCTGCACGTTCTGTACAGAGCTGGGCCACGAGTGGTCCCGGTTCGTACGGCAGGCCCAAGGCTCCTGGGCCCGTTAGCGTTTTTCCCACAGCCCGCGTCGCTTCCTGGAGCCACCGGCCCTCCCGCTCTGCCCCTCCTGCTGCGCACAGCTGCCCACAGTCAGCGAACCTGGGCGTCCCTGGGCGTGCTGGCCGTCCTTCCCGCCCTGCAGCGCCGTAGCCTCTGTGACTGACGCCTGGTCCCATGGGGGTTCCAGTGCGTGTCGGGCCCCTGTTCCAGGGCACCTCCACATTGGTAAAGCCACAAGGTTGGTGTATTAGTCAGCTCGGGCTGCTGTACCAAATACTACAGATGGGGTGGGGTGGGGTAGGGCGGGGGTCGTGGGGGGGTCTTGAATGACAGAAGTGTGTGGTTTCATGGTTCTGGAGGCTGGAAGTTCTAGATCAAGGTGTCAGCAGGTTGGGTTGGTTCCTTCTGAGGCCTCTCTCCCTGTTGGCTTGTGGATGGATGGCTGTCCTCTCCCTGTGTCCTCCCATGGTCTTCCTCTGCGTGTCTCTGTATCCAAATGTCCCCTCTTTATAAGGACACAGTCACGTTGGGTTAGGCCCACCCTGAAGACCTCACTTTAACTTGATTCTGTCTTTAAAGATGTTACGTTCTGGGGTGTCGGGGTTAGGGTTTAAACACGTGGATTTGGGGGCACACAGTTCAACCTACTGCTGCTGCCTTCGGGTCATCAGGCTGCCCTGGGCTGTCAGTCCTGGGGGGCCCCTGCAAAGCTGGTGTGTCGGAGGGTGAAGGAGGTGACGGAGTTGCTCTTTGGTCCCCCCTGTGACGGAGCAGGGCCGCCCCAGCAACTAAGAGATCCTACAGCTTGGAGGACCTTGAAGGGGGGGGTTCTCTGCTTTGTGGCCTCAATGTCCGTAAAGACAGAAAAGCAAAACCAGTGACTCTGAACTGGCCACCGGTGACACTTGGTTGTGGCAGCTTGAGGGGAGTACTACTGACATCTAGTGGGTAAAGGTGAGGGACGCTGCTAACACCCTACGCCGAAAGCCCAGGACAGCCGCCCACAGCAGAGAACAGTCATGGAAATGTGAATGGCCCCAGGGTTCAGAAGCCCTGATCTGGGCAGTGCAATTCTTAATTGCATTGTCGATTTTAGGGAACTGTGCAGTTGGTAGTAAGGAATACAGTTTTTCCCTCCAGCACATGTAGGACATTCACAAAAATGGATCACATGTTAGATCACAAAGAAAACATCAATTGAAAAATGAAAACTCATGTTACTTTAGTAGAAAGATTGTGGAGAAATAGGCTCTCAGGTACCAGTGTTGAGATCCTGATCTGGTTCAGTCTCTTTGAAGGGCATTTGGAACATTTATCAGAGATAAACACATATACCTTGATCATGTTAATTGCACAGGCAGCGTATTTCCTACGCGGTGCCTACCCGTTCAGTACAAAAAAACAGGAGCTGCCTAAATGCCATCAGTGGGGGATCATTTAGATAAATTAAAACTCGTCAATACAAGAGAATTCTAGCCTGCTGTTCCTCCCTTTGGCCATATAAAATTTCTGATATTCTAGTGTTTTCGACTTACAGAAACGGCACTTTTTGTAAGGCTCAAGCCGTAACGTGAACACGTTTGTATTTTTGTGCTAATGTGAAAAGACTTTAAGTAGAAAAGAGAGTGTGATGTGGTATTTATTGATTGATGCCATGTTTATATTTGTAAAGGATGCCTGTGTGTTACCTATGTTTGAATATGTATAAAAGTTTCTGGAACCACCTGCCAGACACTGTCAGCAGAGGCACCTCCAGGGAGGGACCTGTGTTTGGGGAGGAGAAAGGCTTTTGTTTCGTCACACCCTCTGCTTGGTTTGTGGTTTTTATCATGTGCACATGTTACTTTTACAGTTTACAAAACTTACTGTGGGGCTCTTTCTTTCTTGTCTCTTTTTTTTTTCTCGCTGCGTTGGGTCTTTGCGTTGCGCGAGGGCTTTCTCTAGTTGCGGCGAGCGGGAGCTACTCTTCAATGTGGTGCGCCGGCTTCTCATTGCGGTGGCTTCTCTCGTTGCAGAGCACGGACTCTAGGCGTGCGGGCTTCAGTAGTTGCAGCATGCGGGCTTCAGTAGTTGTAGCATGTGGGCTCAGTTGTGGCACACGGGCGTAGTCTCTCCAAGGCATGTGGGATCTTCCTGGACCAGGGCTCGAACCCTTGTCCCCTGCATTGGCAGGCAGATTCTTAACCACTGCGCCGCCAGGGAAGTCCCGGGGCTCTTTTTTTCTGATCATGAAAACCATGCATACTCCTCATGGAAGATTTTAAGGACAGATAAGCAAAAAGAGAAGCGCAGTTCTAGAGAGCAGCCCTGCCGGCCTTTGTTGACTCTCTGTGAGTCTGTGTACAAGTGTGTTGTCAGGAACAGGACGGCACTCTGTGTCCCACACTCTTACCTGTTCTCACTCAGCGCCCATTTCCGGTGTCTGGGAAAGGCCGCGGGCCGTCAGCATCCCGGGGGGCCTGTGTGGCCTCAGGCCATCCACGAGCCTGCTCTGGGCCTCTTCCCGCTGGGGGCCTGAGGGGTGGGCTGTGGTGCCTGTGAGTCCGGCCCCTGGGGGCCCGGGCTCACGTCTCTCCTCCCGCAGGTGTGGAGCGGGGCCCCGTGGTGCGGCCCTCTCTGGAGAGCCTGCTGGCGGCCAGCAGTCACATGCTGAAGGAGGTGTTGGACGGCCCCTTCGTGGACCCGCTGAAGAACCTGCGGCTTCCACGGGAGCTGAACCCCAATAAGAAGTACAGCTGGATGCAGAAGAAGGACGAGCGGGTGAGGTGTCCCAGGCCAGGCCTGGGGGGCTGGGAGGCGGGCGCGGGGTGCCCCAGAGAGGCCACCTCACCTGGGCCTTGGCCGGCTTTGCGTTCGGAAGGGCCTGTTCCGCACCCAGCTTCCGCCACCGGTCTGCTGGTGGTGGTCCCGGGCAAGTTGTCTCCTCTTCTCGGGTCTCTGTTTATCACGTAATCACGTGTCAAGAGTGCATCCTGTGGGTGACAGCTTGAGGGCTCAGGGAGAGCAGACCTGGCTGCGCCCCTGCTGCCCATGGGCCTTGGGCAGGCGGCTTCGTCTCCCCGTGCCCGCGACACATGATCCAACAGGCAGCTCTGCCTGAGCGGTCCTTACGGGCCAATTCGGCCTGGATACAGCCCTGCGAAGTTGGCTTTTCGGTCCTTGGCGTGCAGCCGGGCATTCCGTTTTGCTCAAGGCCACAGCTCGTGAGGGGTAGAAATTGGGTGTGACCCGGGCCCCTGGTCTCCGCTGTGAGGTCCCGCACCCCGGCCGAGGGCGGCGTCCTCACCCGCCCCTCCCCGCAGATGTACGCCATGAAGTCCTCCCTGGAGAGCATGGACGCCATGGAGCTGGACTTCCGGATGCGGCTGGCGGAGGTGCAGCGCCAGTACAAGGAGAAGCAGCGCGAGCTGGTGAAGCTGCAGAGGCGCCGCGATTCCGAGTGAGTGTGCCCCGCCGGCCCGCGGCCTGGGCTCTGTAGGCGCCGCGCTCAGGAGGGCGGCCGAGGCAGGCCGCCAGGTGTGCGTGGCCCCGAGTGACGTGTGCGTACCGTGCGTCCCTTCTCCGCGCCCCGCCACCCCCCGGGTGCACAGCCAAGCGTGTGATTCTCTTTAAGGGACAGGCGCGAGGAACCCCATAGAAGCTTGGCACGCAGAGGCCCTGGCAGGCCGCGGAAACGGACCCACGCCCTGAGCGCCCTGTCGCCCCCCCGCAAGAGAGGGAAGAGCCGCATCCGTAGCGGAAAGTAAGGCTGGCCCCTCGGTGGGTCGGGGACTGGCACAGAGCTCGGAGGGGAGGATCCCGGGCCTGCGCGGGGCCTGTGTGGGCGCCGGGGACCTCGCGTCCCTCAGGCTCTGACCCACCTGGATCGGCGGCTCGTGGGCAGCATGGCACGCTGCCCCGGGCGGGCCAGGAGGGCGAGCGTGGAATGGACAGGCAGACCCACCCCAGCCAGCGTGTCGAGCGTCACCCAAGCGTTGGGCCCATCTTCCTGCCGCACCTGCTTCCTCCACGGCTAGGGGCTGATTCCCGAGCCGCTCTTTGCGGCGGGCCGCGCTCTGCTCTTGCTTGGTTCCCTCTGTGCCGGACAGCGTCACTCCCGTTCTCCTGGCTCGCTGTGCCGAGCTACTCCCTGGGACCGGGGCCGCCATCTCCGCGCACTCGGGGACAGGCCCCTTTGGGAGCAGCTGGAGCGAGAGCGCCCCCTCCAGGCCGCGTGTGGGCGGGAATGGTGCTGCGTCCTCCCAGGGCGTCTGGGGGTAGCACGAGCTGAGCGGGAAGGGGCCGGAGGGCACCTCTGCCTGGGACAGCAGGGCAGGTGGATGCCAGGGCTTGGTTGAGGAAGCAGAGGGGGCCGCCGGGTACCTTCAAAGGCATAGGAGAGGCAGTGGGGCGGCCACAGCTCTTCTCAGGAGAAGACAGCCCCAGGGGCCCCCTCGTCTTGCATTTAACCTTCTTGGCTGTTCCTGACTGATGAGAGGATGGAGAGAGGGAGAAATACCCTGTCAGCAGCCACACAGGGAGAGCAGCTCCTGGGGAAGAGAGCAGAGGCTGGGGCTGCTAGCACGCAGAGCTGCTGGTTACCAGTGTGGACCCCGGAAGCGGAGGCACCTCCTGCCCAAGTCCCAGGTCTGCCCCTTATTGTGACCTTGGGCCAGGTGTTAGCCTTTATAGATGAGTTCCTTCATCTATAAAAAGCAGTATCTAGAACATGGCATTGTTTTGTGGTTAAAGTATAAAGCACAGACATGGAGCAAGACACGTAGTACCAAGTAAAAATTATTATCATTATTATTATTACCTGTGAGGGTTTAGCTTAAGCAGGCAAAAGAGGCCTTCGAACCAGGACCATGGCCCGACTGCTTATGCTCCTAGGGGTACAGGAGACCAGCCAGCGGCTCTTCCTTCCTGGAAGCTCTTGATCTGAATCCCCCTCCCATCCTGGTGGATTTCCGTGGCATTCCTGATCCTTGTTCTTTGGTACAGAGGAATCTGACGGTGTAAAGATATGTGTGTGAGTGTGTATGTGAAGGAGCACGAGAGAGAAAGAGGCCAGCAGAGGATACACTGCTTTCAAGAAGTTCTTTTTTCCCCACTAAACTCTCATTCTGCCTCCTTCACAAGTATCCCAGAATCCCGGCGCCATAGTGCTAGATGCTCCGTCTCCCCAGACTCGTCACTCTGTCACCACGGTCTGTGCGTCGACATCCAGAGCCCACCCTTCAGGGCCACGAGGGCGGGCCCCCAGCCCGTGAGTGCCGCCTGGCCAGGGCGCTGACCGCTGGTGCATCTGGGTTTCAGGCTGAGCGGCAAGCCCCTGCTGACCTCGGACGACTGTGAGCTGGGAGCAGGGTTGAGGAAGAGACACAAGGGGCCTGAGGAGGACCACGATGCCCTTGGCGGGACCGGGAAAGCCAGGGGGAGGAGCCAGCCTTGGGACGAGCACGAAGCCTCTTCAGACTTCATGAGTCAGGTCAGTGGCCCCGCCCCGTCTTCCAGGTGTGCTGCTGGCTTGGGGCGGGAGGTCTGGAGGGGGCGCCGGAGTTCACGCTCCCTTGGCAGGCCTGCTGGCCCTGCTGCTGCACGGAAACTGTGGAGGTGGTTGCCTTAGTGCCAGAGCGACTCTCCTCCAGTGTTCCTCACTGTGCAGAGGGGGAAAGTGAGGCTCAGGGGAGGTCAGAGACCACCAGAGTAACCCAGCCTCGGGTGGAGCTCTGTGTGTGCCACTTCCTGTGTGTGTGCTCCGTGACCCGGTGCTGAAGCCGAGAAGAGAGACTGCAAGTTCTTAACCAAGTAATGCAGTCACTCTGTTGTTTCACAGTATGAGTTTAACGAGCAGCTTCACCACTCTAGTTCGAGGAAACAAGGGCTTGATGCCATTGTAATTTCCTCTGTGAACTGTCCTGAGGTAAGGGGGTGAGAGCCAGCACCTTGAGTTTTCTTCTTCCTGCGGAGTATTGAAATCATCCACTTAAGGCCCTCATTGCTAAATGCTTACGTACCTTGTCATCCCTCCCGGTAAAGGCCCTGTGGGAGAGAGGGCTGTTTTGGTTGACTCGGCCGTCAGAGGGAAGGACTCACATAGGGGAGACTGGGTCCAGGTGGAGGGGAGAGAGCCAGTTTGTATGTCAGGATCCCCTGTACTCTCGAATTGTGAAGGGCACTTTCGTGGTTTAATTGACACTATCCCAACTTTTCTCTCCTTATGAATTGTTACCTGATTAAAGAAAATAGCGGTAAAGTGTTCAAATGAGGGCCATTGAAACGTCAGGTTTCAACAACAAAGGACTACAGCCGACGAGAGACGCGCAGGCAGCAATTTATCTGTGAAATCTCTAATCGTTCTTTCTGCTTCAGGCGTCCAGGGCACACTCGAGGCATTTTCTCCGCAGCTTTGGCCCATTTAGCTGGATGGGCTGATTCGGGCTGTGCTGTGCAGCCGTCTTCATCACCTGCTTTAGGCGATTGAGATAAGCAGATCAGCTGTGCTGTGATCTGGGTTTTCCATCTTGGGTTCATCCCTCCTCCCTTAATCCAGCCGCCTTCTCCCACGCTGCCGCGGCAGCGGTGCTCGCGCTTCGAGCGCTTCCCCTAGGAGGCACCAGGTAGCGCCGTGGAGAGCCAGTGGCAATGCCGGTGTCACTGATAACTGTAACCACAGTGACAGCTATTTAGTAAGTGCCTCATGTGCCTTTTCTCAGTTCGTCTTCAGAACGACCCGCTGAAGCCTGTGCGTAATTACCCCCATTTTACAGAGTAGAGGAACTGAGGCTAAGAGGAGTTAAGCGACTTGCCAGAAGCCGCAGAGGCAGGGAGAAGGAGCTGGGGTTCGTCAGACCTCGTGCGTGGAGACCCAGTGTTTGGTCAGCCGTCTTAACCTGTGACTTCCCAACTTCCCTTTCCAGCTAAAGATTAAGAAAAAGAAGATGGCCAGCGACCAAGAGCAGTTGGCAAGCAAGCTGGACAAAGCCCTCTCCCTCACAAAGCAGGACAAGTTGAAGTCGCCCTTCAAGTTCTCGGACACTTCTGGGGGGAAATCAAAGACGAGTGGGGTGTGCGGCAGGTACTTGACGCCCTACGACAGCCTGCTGGGCAAGGACAGGAAGGCGCTGGCCAAAGGCCTCAGCCTGTCTCTGAAAGCCTCCCGAGAAGGTAAACACAAAAGGGCCGCCAAAGCCAGGAAGATGGAGGTGGGGTTCAAGGCCAGAGGCCAGCCCAAGTCGGCCCACTCCCCGTTCGCCTCGGAAGTGAGCAGCTACTCCTACAGTAAGTAGAGGGGCCGCGCCGCCTCAGGGCCGCTCTTTCTCTCCTTCCTCCTCTTTCCTCCTCCTCCTCCTCTTTTCAGCCTCGAAAGCTCGAAAGGTCTCTCTTCCGCCTCTCTCGGCTCGAAAGCGCGAAGGTCTCTTTTCCGCCTCTGTGCGGGCCCCGCCCAGGCCGGAAGCAGAAGTGCCTGTGATTGGCGGGCGCCGCGCTGGGTGCCCACCTATGATTGGTGGGTGCTCGTGATTGGCGGGCGGGTGGGAGCGGAAAGCCCCGCCAGCCCTTTCGGTGCCCGAAAGCTGTCGTGCGCCACAGAGTTGGCTGCTTCTCGGCCTGGAGCGGCTGGTTGTGAGAACCGTAGAGATGACCCGGATTCCGCGGCCCGCAGGCGGCCGTCTGTCCACGGGCCCGGTGTTAGTGAGAACAGCGTTTGTGGAGCGCACGCCAGGGCTGTCTGGGCCGTATTTCCCTTTGTCTTTGCGACAGTCCTCCAAGTGGTTAACCCGTGTTGTTCCCGAGGATAGGTCCTGAGGTCGGGCCGGGGTGAGGCCCAGCCTGTCCGCCTCAACTGCGCAAGACGTCCTGCCATCATGGGCGCGGCCCGTGCGCTGCCCGCACAGCAGCCGCCGGCTGCAGGCGGCTTTCGGGCCCCTGAAACGTAGCAGCTGGTGGGACTGAGGGACTGAGCTCTAGCCGGAGCCCGTGGCATTGGAGCTGCTTCTCTGGGAACTCCGGGAGCATGGTTTTCCGGAGCCAGGCAGCCTTGCCCCCCACGCGAAGCCCGACGCCCCGCCGGCTCTCTGTGGCCTCTGGTGGCCCAAAGCCCGCCGTCTAGCATGTAATAGGTGCTCAGTAAGTACTTGTGGGCGGAACGCGCAGTGCCCAGGATGGGTGGGCGTCGGTACGGTGCCCGCTGCAGCAAGGCCAGGAAGGGGCTTCTTGCCCCCTGGCCCGTCCGCAGGGTTGGTTCTGAGGCGAGCCCAGGCCGTGAGGGGGGCGGCAGGCTTTTTCATCGTTGACCGCGTGGACCTGTGTGACTGGGCCTTCGGCTGGCTCTGCCGAGCTCACGGGGTTGGGGGTGTTGAACGTGAAGTGTAAAAAATGGACCCCTTTGAGGTTACGGTGAAGAACGTCTTTATGGATTTGGAGTTCAGATGCAGAGGGCTGTCGGCAGCCCTAGGCGAGCTCACGTGGGAGAAGAGCTGGACCTGGCACCTGGCATGAGGTTAAGCTGCTGCTGGGGGGTTTTTTGGTTTGTTTTTAAGGTTCGTGGGTTTGATGGCCCCGGGTCTCCAGGGTTGATGCGCAGATAGGCGTTGGGGCAAGCGGCACCTTTTGTGCCTTAGGTACTGGGGACGTGTTCGAACGCCGAAGCCTCCCGGCCCTCGCGTTTGGGTGGGTGTGAGCCGAGCAGCATGGCCCAGGCCCCTGGCCACTGTGGACCAGGTTCAGGGACTTGCAGCCCTGAAGGAGGAGGGAAGGGCTTTCCTCTGCTCGTTTTGGAATATTGGATAGCGAGTGGGGGAGGGTTGCCGCTCCTTTGATCTGTCAGGGGACGGTGGTCGGTGGATGTGGCCTGGCGAGTTGCTGGAAGAACCCGCCGCTCCTCCCCGCTCGCAGGTGGATGTGTCAGGGTGCAGGCGAGAGGCCAGAGAGAAGCTGAGGTCTCTGAGCCGCTGAGCGTACTGCAGCAGACGTGCGCGCGCGTGCAAGGCCGCGTTCCGAGTGCCGGCCTACCTGTTAGGCCTTTGTCTAAAACTGCACTGTCCCCGTGAGAGCAATGGGTTATCATTGCCACAGGGAGGTCGGAAGGCCTGTCTCCAGTTAGCTGGCGGCTATGATATGCAGCTGGCTGTGGAGAGGGCGTGTCTCTGTTTTTTACGTTGGCTTTTTCGCTGAGAGCGCACACGTGCGGTCGTGAAGAGGTCGGGGTGTTTCCAGCAGAGAAGTGCTGCGCCTGCAGGAGGTGGGAAGAGAGCACGTTGCTCTCTTGCTTTTCCACGTTGGGTTGGAGGGGTTGGGTGGCATGCTTGGTGGGTTCTGGGGAGAAGCCAGGCTGGTCGTCCTCACGCTCGGACGTCTCCAGGCCTGGGTTGTGGCCTCAGGAAGGACGGGATGGAGTACACGGGGGATGGAGTACACGGGCGGGAGAGCTGTGGCCAGGGCACGGGCGGAGGCTCGTCTGTGTCCTCCCTCCTTTTAGAGTGGAAAGCATAGACGGAGGAGGAAGCAGCCAGAGGACCCCTGTCCCGGAACACGCACACACCCACCCACACACACCACACCCACATGCACACACCACACACACACACCACAGACTCACACACACACCACACTCACGCACACACCACACATACTACACA